GAATCCCACATGGGCGACTTGTAGTTTGAATCTCAGCCCTGGCAGCTTGAAGAAAAGCATGCCAGGTGTCTGTGCCCCAAATCCTGACAGGATGGAGAAATGAAGAAGGGAATGCAGCGTGACCATGCCCCATTGGGAATTCCTTTCTCCCTCTCCCCTCTCTCTGTCTCTCTGTCTCTCTCTGGTATACCCAGAGGGCCCCAGTTGCCTCATTAGCAGATGTGATCAGAAGGGATTCATGAAAAATAAAAGATGCTCCTTTTCACCCAGGAAATTCATCATGGTTTTATGAGTTTTGTGCTAGAAACTAGGGACAAAGATCAAATATATATATTGTTTTTTCTTTTTTAAACAATTATTTAATTTTAATTTTATTTATTCATTTAAATTTCACCAGAGAGGGACAGAGTGAGAGTGAGAGAGAGGGAAAGTGGGAAAGCAAGCTGCCAGGTTCGGGACTCGAACCGTGGTCGGCCATGTGGGAATTCAGTGCCCTCAACCACCACACCACCTGCCAGCACAAGTATATTTCTTATTATACCTCGACAGTGTTTTCTCTGACGTGATTTTTATGACATTTCTGTTCTTTGATAATACAGTAGATGTAAAATAATATGTATTCATTTTTTTGGAAACTAGCACAAAGGAATAGAGACTTAAGTGGAGTCATATTTTTAGTACTGAGAATGTCAGTTGTGATTATTAATAATAGTTTTGCTTTGACTTCTCTATATGTAGTTATTTTCCTTTTAAAAAGAAAGGCTGATTTTTTGGCTAAATTTTGGCATGGATATTTAGAAGCATTTATAGTGAACCTATAATTTATGAAATACATCATAAGTACCGGTAACACTGGCCCTCTGGCTTTCATATTTTGCAAGTGAAGTTTCATGAGTAAATACAAGGCAGCGTTTTCTTAGGAGTCCTATTCAGGGTCCCATCGGGCATGGTCCTGTGTGCAGCCCTGACTGTGTTCGGCCCTGTGCATTACAAAACGAAGGTAAATGAGCATCATCCTTTTACTCCTGTCCCAGGGACCATGAGAACTGAAAGTAACAATTCGTCCACATTAGAGGACATGTGGATAGTAAAAAGTTAACAGCTTCTAACACAGATTCAGACGGTAGCAGTAAATGAGACCTAACCAAATTTCATCTAACTTCAGTTTATAGATGAGGAAACCGAGGCTCAGAGTGGTTTAATGTCTTCCAGAAGGTCGTGTTAGTTACAGGAAACGCTGAACTCGAACACAGGTCCTGGGCGTTCTGCTGAAGGCTTGAGGATCTCAGTGCTGTTGGACCTGTGGTCTTTCCTGGTTGAGCATCACCCTTTTGTATCTCCTATGACCTCCAGGGACCCTCGCTGTTTACAGGCACTACTTTCCTGGCAGGGAGGGAGTGACCTCTCTATTATGTGGTTCTCATTGTCCCAGATGTCCTGTGTACCTTAATAAGTCTAATTTTTCTGGTTGTACTGAAAGATATTTTAGGTGAATAAGGAAAAACAAACAAAACCACTGACCTTCTGAATTCATTGACCCCTTGTTTTTCTCTTAGAATGCTTTTAAAAGCTCAGGGAGGGGACCAGCAGTTACCGTAATGGCTATGTCGCTGAACTCCCATGTAGCCAACCACAGTTAGAGTCCCAGACCCGGTGGCTTAAACTCATGCTGGCGCATGTGCATGTGTGCCCAAGATCCTGAGAGGAGAATAGAGGAGAAGGGATTTCGGCATGGCCACTATCAGCCCCCAGGGGGGATGATTTCTCACTTTCTATCTCTTCTGTCTCTCTCTGTCTTTTTGGCGAGCGCACGCACTCTGTAGCAAAAAATCTCTCAAAATTAAAAAAAAAAAAAAAAGCTCAGGGACTATAGGTTTCCTTTTTAAAAAATATTTATTTAACTTTATTTACTGTTATTTAAATTTGCTATAGGTCACATGCGCTCACCAAAGAGAGACAGAAAGGTAAAGTGAGAAAGCAAGCCACCAGGTCCTGGACTCAAACTGCAGTCAGCCATGTGAGAGTCCAGTGCCTTAACCACCACACCACCTCTGGCCCCCAGAGGGTTCCTTTTATTGAAAAATGACCTGGTTTAGTTTCTTGGCCTTGTGTCGTTAGAATCATATATCTTGGATTTGGGGTTTAATGGCTTTACCTATGAAATACATCAATAGCACTGCAAGTTCACATGGTTGGAAGACCATTTTACTGTAGGGCAGCTTTTAGTGAAGTCTTCTGCAGAGCTTTTCCATCTGTGACTTACATTTTCTCTTACTGCGTTAGGGACAGCTGTGCCTGCTACGTTCCTGTAAATTACTGTAGATGATTCACGTGTTTTTCAGTTCCACACTTGGTATATTTGCTACGAAGAATAAATGGGTCAAGTTAATGGGTTAGGACCCTCCTCCCCGAGAGTGCTGCCTGCATCGCTCTCCACGTGAAAGCATGCCCAAATGTGTCTTTACTTCAATCTAGGACACTTAACAAGCATGCCCTATGGGTTTGCTTTTAGTTAAAAGTTGATTTTTAATGCTCTTGAATTCATCGGTGAAAACACACTTTCAACTGTAAAGTAAAACAGTAGCTATGGAGAGGAAGAAATTCTAGATGAAATTTAAAAAAAAAAAAAAACAAGAGAATATCTCTTGGATTATTTCTAATTTTGTAATTTTTGTTCATGCTAGATTTTAGTTTTGAATTATGCCAGCTGGATGTTAACATTTTTAATGCATTTTGAATTTTGCACCATTAATAAAATTGAGCTCCTATTAAAAAAAAATGAAGATCTAAAAATATTTTTGGTCATTTGATCTATAAGCTTATTCTTTTCAGTTTACTTTGGTTATTTGTGTTTTGCTTGAGAGTATATAAATTTCTTAGTTTTACATTTTAGTGAGAAAGAATGCATTTTGTCTTATATTCTACAGCAACTCATCACTTACTTACGTTGACTCAACTTCTCAGTAATTTCAGCTGTGCCAAAATGTACAGACAAGAGCCTGGCGATTTAGAATAAACAGATGGTGATCAGAGGATGGCTTCTGAATAACACAGCAGAGGTCACAAAAGCTGTAACTTGTCCATAAGAAATGTCCTCGGCATCTCACATAGAACGTTTTTCTTTTAAGAATTATTTTATTTAAGTTTATTTATTTACTTGTTTATTTTAATTTGACTAGAGCGGGACAGAGTGAGAGAAAGGAAGTGAGAAAGCAAGCTGCCAGGACCAAGACTTGAACCACAGTCAGTCATGTAGGAGTCCAGCGCCCTTAACCACCATGCCACCTGCTGGCCCCTAGGACCCATTTCTTTAATCTTACCAAAGGCAAAGTTCTAAGGAGCTAGATTGTGTGGATTCCATGCCCCAGCAGACTAGAATCACCAAAGAAAAAAGAATTCCTGGTAGAACAGATCAGCCTGGGGCATAACACAGGAGAGGGACACCCAAAACAGTGATCCCGACAAGCACTGTGACCTCAGCCGCAGCGTGAGGCCCACTGCCCCCGTGCAGAGTCCCAAGAGAGCACCACAATATTCATCATGTTGACCCCAACATGTGAAAGAGGTGTAGAACGGCTTCGAGCTCCAAGTACACAGGGTAGCAGGACACATTTTAGAATGAGAAGAATGCCTACTTTTTTTTTTTAATCCACCACTCAGTTTTGTCCAATTTTAACATACTGCTTTATTTTTATATCTTTTTAGTTTTTAAGGTTTTGTTTTGTTTTGCTTTGCTATAGGACACATGTGTTTGCCGGGGAGAGAGAGAAAGAGAGAGAGAAACAGAGAAAGTAAGAAATCGCCCTTCTCTTTAGATTTGGGCATACGTGCACATGCATCCGATTTTCAAGCCATCAGATCTGGAGCTCAGACCACGTTCAGCCACGTGGAGAGTCCAGCACCGTCACCACCACTCCACCTGCCAGCCACAGACGTTTTTAGTTTTCCTAGAGCACACTGTGTCAGTATCCTGTGGCTTCTGCATCTTTAAGAAGTTCTCTACCAGGGGAGCCATAGATATTTGCCTATGAATTTTGAAATTTTACTTTTATGTTCAATGCACTTAGAGTTTAGTTTTGCTTGTAGGTCAAGGCACAGGCCTATTTTTTTCCTCCTGGAGATACTTAACTATACCAGCATTATGTATTGAATGACCCGTCCTTTACCTTTTTGCAGCTGGTACATTGCATCTGTCCGGGTTGTTGCTCAGCTTACACCCTTAGTCCGTCCGCCTGTGCCAGTGCTGTCTTAATTCTGATGTCCAGTAGGGGGAGCCTCTCAGTGACATTGTCAGATTCTTCACATGTGTCCTGACCATTTTAGCTTTATGTAAGTTTTATATGGAATTTAATTTAGTAAAGTTTGTGCGGAAATTAAAGTTCCTTTTTAAAATCCTGCTGGGATTTTGATTGAAATTGCAGTGCACTTACTAGCCAATTTAGAGATAGCTAATTAATTTCAAAATAAAAATGTTCGAGTGTTTAGGAGAGAACAAATTCCTACTTTTTACAAAAATCATTTCTGGAAGGGTTCTGAATTTTCAAAGTTATATTATTAACACATTTAAATGAAGAGAAGTGAAGTGTACCATTAAGAGTGTTCATTTATATATTGAAGTAATTCAAAATATCAAACATTTAAGCATCCTTAGTTCTTCACCATGTTTATTAATTTCTTCAGAAATAGTTATTGATTGCTTGTTTTATGCAGGACTGTCTGCTACAGAATATAGCGGCAGTTTGAACATCGCCGTCGCAGTGAGGAAGGTTGCGTATCTGATTCGTTATTATATACCACATGCGATACAGTTCACACTCGCAGGCGGAGCTCAGGTGATGCTCGAGGGACGTGTTCTCCATGCCGGCTGCATGGCATGTGTCGTTTAGCTTGTGCTTCTAAAATTTGCTTCAAGGAATATTCCCTAGAGTTCAGAGGTAATAGAACGTTGGCTCCCGAATTGTTTAATTATCTGCTAAAATTTGGTTTTTGTCCTTCTGCAGAGACTGACAGCCAGTACAGGAAGCAAACAGCGCAGTCGCCTTTCTGTCATGGCCCAGTATCTGTGCGGGGTTCAGCACGTGTTTACGATTCCAGGGCGAGCTTTTGTGCCCAAACCACAGGTGAGTTTCTGCTTATTTCTTTTAGTATATCAGGGTTAGGATTTTAGGTACCAGCAGATGGCATAATGGTTATGTCGCTAGACTCCCTCTTGGCTGACCACAGGTCAAGTCTGGAACTCAACCAGCTTGAAACTCACACTGGGTACGTGTGTGTGTGTGTGTGTGTATGTGTGTGTGTGTGTGTGTGTGTGTGTGTGTGCCCAAAATCCCAAGAGGAGAGTAGAGAAGAAGGGATTGAAGCCATCCCCCGGGGGGATTTCTCACTTTCTATCTCTCTGTCTCTCGGGTCAGTGCACCTATTCTATAGCAAAAATCTCTGTTAAGAAAAGGAGGGGGGTGTAACAGATGGCATAATGGAGAAGGGATTGCAGAGTGGCCATCCCCCCTGTGGGGGTGATTTCTTACTTTCCCTCTCAATGTCTCTGCACACCCCCAGACCTCCCAGCTCACACACCCTAAGCCAAAAACCTCTTTAAAAAAAAAAAAAACGAATTAGGATTTGAGTTGTAATCTTTGTTCTCCAGAGGAGGTGTTCATCGTAAGAAATAATCTCTAGGATCTAATCCTTCTTCTTATGCAAACTGTCATAGCTGTTTTCTTTATTCCTAAGCAAGAACCACAAAGATCACAACGTGAGTACTTAGTTCTTATTCCCACTTTTCTCCGTCTCAGAGGGGTTGGCCACGGAGCCCAGTTTCCTGCTTTCCTGCGGTGGAATCCCATCTCCCTACTTACCAGCCGTGTGACCTTGGGACGGTTAGGTAACTCCTTTAACCTCTCAGAAGCTACTGGCAGTTGTGCCATGGGGTGGAGTCACTTGGAGGTCTGACCCAGTGGGCGTATGCAGGGTAGAGTCAGGGCTGGCCTGTGGTGGCAAGCATTTGCAGTGACAAGTGGCTGAGGATAGAGAAAGAAGGTGCTTTGTCTCTCCAGTGGGGCGAGATGCAGTCCTGTCAGCTCCGGAGAATTTGTTCAATAGCATTCTGTGCGAGCAGAGGTGGAGGCTCAGACTTCTGGGGGAGTCCGGATTGAGTCCACAGAGGAGCCTCATGTGCACCCTTGAAGAGCAGGAGCCAGGCAGGGGTGCGTCTAAGGTGGCAGGCGAAGAGACGAGCACAGCAGGGGAGGCAGCAGCAGGCGTGGAGGGGCCTCTCAGCATCTCACGTTCGCCACACCCAGACTGCGTGGAGCCAGGCCTGCTTTTGGTCTGAAATGGCTGCTTTTCTGAGAATTTGAAACATACCTGTATCTCTTTAGGAAGAAAATATTCCAGAGCTAAATAAAAAAATTTTTGAAGTATATGTGGCAATACACAGACAGTAGAAAGCGAACTTCATTTACACAGGGGTCTGCAGGCTATGTCTTTATTTAATTTTATTTATTATTGTTGTTATTTTTCATTTGACCAGATTGAGAGAGAGAGAGAAAGGGAGAGTGAGAAAGCAAGCCTTCAGGTTCAGGACGTGAACTGCGTTCAGCCTTGTGGGAGTCCAGTGTCTTAACCAGCACACCACCAGTCAGCCCCTCCTAGGTAGTTTTTAAAAATGAAAAAAGAGACGGGAGGTCACAGTAGATAGGGACTTGGGATGGATGGTTTAGGCAGCCTGCAAATGGGGCTGACAGCTTCTCTGTCTAACGCCCTCTCACACTCTGTCACTTTAAAAACAGAACAAGTTGCTCCACTGTTGCCAACCAGGTCGCAAAAGGAGGAGACCCTGTTGATTAACCCCAGGATGAGGTACTCTTCATGCTCAGTGATTTAGGTCGCTTATAAAATCCAATTCTAGGGGCCAGCTGCTGGCATGGCGGTTAAGGTGCTTCACTCCCACATGGCCAACATGGTTCAAGTACTGGACCCAGTGACTTGGAAATCATGCCAGATGTGGGACCAGCAGAAGGTATAATGGTTACGTCGCTTGACTCCCATGTAGTCGACCATGGTTCGAGTCCTGAACCTGGCAGCTTAAAAAAACTCAAACCAGGCATGTATGCGTATGCGCCCAAAATCCCAAGATGAGAATGAAGGCGAGGAAATTGCAGTGTGGCCATCCCCCGGGGGGGATGATTTTCTCTCTTTCTGTCTGTCTCTTTTAGTCTCTGGTGAGGACACGTGCCCTATGGCAAAAATCTCTCTTAAAAAAAAAAAGAAATCATGTGAGATGTGTGTACATGCATGCCCAGAATCCCAGGAGAATGGAGAAGGGATTGTGACATGGCCATCCCACCAGGGGGTGATTTCTTACTTTCCTCCTCTCTCTCTCTCTCTCTGGTGAGCACACACGCCCTATGGTAAAACCATTGGGAAAAAAAAAGTTCATTTCTGAAGGTGATCAACATGTTATCTGAAAAGGGGAAAAAAGCAATCAGTTAATTGCCTCATTGTAATTAGCAGCTCTTTCAATTTTGTCCTCTAAAGAAAATATGAAAACAATGGAAAAAGACATAATTGTTTTGTTGGCATTTTAAACTACTTTGTAGTTTTTCAAATATTTTACACTCTTTGTTAAGCATAATTCTGATTTTTTCATCTTTTTTTAGTCTAAAATAAAAGTCCCAGCAGGCACCTGAAAACCTCACTCCGTGCTCATCACACCACACAGTTGCTTACACATAGTCCCTCAGGTTGTATGCCGAAGCGTTCTCTAAGCAGGAGGTTGAGATGTGCTGGCTCTTGGGTGGGTTGTGCCAAGTTTCTGGATTCTTCTTCATACAGGACGTGCAGAAAATTATGCCGGATATAAACAGCAGCATGGCAGAGATGAATCCTATGTAGATAGCTCCCCCCAGTTCGTGTTTGCTGCTTTCTGGAACTGTCTGATCCAGGAAGTCTGCAACGATCTCCTTCGTGTACCACCCTGTGGGTATTACGCCAGAGACCCCGGCCGACATGAAGCAGGCTCCCCCAGCAAAGCAAGCCTGACTCTTGGTGTGTGTGTCCCCTCCTAAACGAGTACATTTCATTCCCACCGTGGAAGTGCAGATCCCCAGGGCAGACAGGACACACGCCAGGACCATGGTGGCCCTCGCAGCCTGCAGGTGTGTGGGGAGGGACAGAAGGGCGTGTTTCAGGGTGCAGCTGAACATCCCGGTGCTGTACCAGGTGCAGTCCATCCACAGCCCGTGCAGCTGTACTATGGCTGTGAGGATGTTGGAGCCCACAGCCATGTTCACCTTCCAGTTGGGCAGCAGAGTGGCCGTGAGCACTCCAGAGGCCCCACATAAGGCCATGATGAAAGCAAGGAGCTGGAGTCCCGCTGAGGCCATGAGGGTGCCTTATCTCTGTCCTCCTAGGAAGTCCCGCTGCCTAGTTACGATGGCCCTCAGTTGGAGTTACGGCGCTTCCTGTGTGTAGAGACAAGTATTAGAAGC